TTTTTTTTTTTTCATACTTTATATCATTATCAATATTTACTATATATTTGAAGGCCCCATGTTCCTTAATGACATGGGACATATGCGAGCGAGGTCTCAAATTTATGATTTATAATTTTTTTGTTTTAAATACAAGGATTTGGAAAGGCTATTCAATAAAGAAAGGTCCCAAGTATGCTCCTAAAAGGAAAAAAAGTGGCTACTGATTTGACTCGCGAAAATTTACAGAGGTAACCATGGACTTGGGTTTTTCTTAGGTATTTAGCAGTTCATAGTTATTTATCGCCTAATAGTTCCAGGTTATTTCATAGTATTATTGTTTATAAGGATTAAGGACTTGCATACCGATATAATCTAATATGGCTTAATGCTACTTCTTTTACCATATAATTAGATAAATAATGTTACTGCTACTATAACATCTTGAATATGTTCATTGGAGGTGGAAAAAGACTCCTATATTTTAATTTTTTTGTTGGGGCGAAATATGCTTTGAGAACAAGTTATATTTGATAAAGAAAAGACTTGAAATGCCAATTGCTATATTAGTTCTATTAATGACCCCAAGAGATAACAACATGAGGATATTATTTTAGGTGCGAAAATCAAATCCTTCCATCTTATTAAACTTTCTAATGTTTAAATCTCATGTTTTGTTTGAAAGGGGTGATTGGAAGGATATTGAGTTCAAAGAGTACAACTTCCTTGCAAAGGGCCAGCCAACAGAAGGTGGCTGTTTACATCCGTTGCTCAAGGCATGACTATCTTTATCTGAACTCACTGGCTTGTGATAAAATGCCATTTTTGGTGAATGTGATGTGGTTATCTATAAATACTTAATTTGCATAAAGATGGATATTGTATGTGTATATACTGATTACGATTTGATTCGATATCATCATGAAGGTTAGGCGCCAAATTCAGATGATATTTCTTCAAATGGGGTAAGTTAAGTTGTAGCATGCTCAGATTCAGATACATACAATTGCTGTACCATCTTCGCAAGGGCCCGAAATTTGTGAAATTTGTTGCTTGTGTCATGCAGGTTCGAAGAAATGCCTACAAATAATTTTGTTGAAAGCAGGTATATATATTAGTCGAGATCTTAGTTAACTTTGGTACTTGTCTGCCCTTTCGGAGATTATAATTAAGAGATAATGTTCATGGCCGAACAACTTTATTACTGTCCACGTGGTTTGAACTTATTGTCTGACCGCGCGTCGCAACGCGGCAAATTTAAATTTATAATATTTTCTTCGACTAACCTCTACTACCTAGTAGTAGCGGTGAGTAAGGGTCGATCCCACGAGGAGCAGGAATTAAGTCGTGACAATTTTCGTATTAATCGAACTAAACTAAGAAAGCAAGTAAAAGGGGGGATTGAATTGATAAAAATAAAAATAACAAAATAAAATAAAAATCAAATAAAATAAGAGAAGTCCAGTTTTCGGTTCAGTTATCACCCAATCTAAATCTACCGCTAATTAATCTCGACGCTTTCTTTAAATTGCTAATGAATTACCGACCCTAGCTAACAACAAGCTCTGTTAACCGAATTTTCCCTTACAGAATATTTAGTCGAAATAAGCTCTTCGACCAAGCCTAACTAGCGGACAACCTAGAATAAGCTCTTTAGATTTAATTCACTAGCAGCATTAATCACTAGGAAAATAGATCAGTCTAAGCAATGGACGCGTAAGCTCGGACCATTTAACTTATGTTCACGCCACCCTAAGGATGCACGACCCCTAGTTTACTACTAACGAAACAAGACAATAACAATTACGGATTAAAGTCCTGAATCTAGCAATTAAACTATGAACATTCTACGTAGTTGGCCAAACTAAGTCAAACATCATAATTCATAAACATTAAACACAGATAACGTAAATCAACTCATCAACAAAAATAAATACGACGTCTCAATTAACCAACGAAGAAATAGATCATCCAATTCATAGACAAATCGAAATTAGGGTTCAAACATCCCCTCAAACTGGATAGAAAAACTAGCCTATCATACTAATAGAAATAAAATACTAGATAAAAGAGAGAACAAAGATCTCCCTCGTGTGCGGGTGCCTCCGCGTAGTGTTCTTTTCCCCTCTCTGTTGCTCTCTGTCCGTGTACTCTGTTTATTTTTCTCCTTTTTCCCGTAAACTAATTCCCATATGTCCTCCCTCAGCAAAATAAAATCACCCAATATAAATCCCAAGACTCCTCTCTAACTTTTGCTGTGTGTCGTGGCCTTATTGGTCTTCTCCAATTTTTAATTCTCTAGGACTCCAAAAAATGCTTGGCTGTGTGTGTTAATTAACTCCTCAACCAATAAATTAACTTCCACGTTTTAACATGGGCTGCATAATTGTACATCTCAATTCCTTAGCAAACAAATCCCTTACAGCCATTTAAATTAGTTCCAGCCCAAATGATATTGAACTCCCAACATTAATTGACTTGGGCCTTCTTTAGCCTGGTATTGCGGTCTTGAGATCAAAGTGAACTTTCGTCTAATGGTTCGTGTCCATAAAATACTCTAACGAGCTGAAAATAAATACAAAAATATCAATGTGTATGTATTCATCCAAATAATAAATAAGTCGAAAATATAAACGTGCGAATAAATTTAGTGTACAAAATTACACTATTAAATATATAAAATATGCACATTTTTCGACCTATCATTGTCCAAAACTACATGTAATGCTATTAACCTTGGCTTTTTTCCCCCCTTCCTTGTAGCTTCTGGAACTTTGATGCACTTTTCCAGCCACAACAGCATCCAGCTCGTGATTCACA